TTCGTAATGTTTTTTATTCAAATTATAATTAATTCATATTGTTTTGTTTATTCATAAAAATGCATATTTAATTTTTTATCAAAAATCTTATTAAAATAATTATTTCACATTAATTAAATACAATAAATCATTAGCAGAAGAAAGTGTAATTTTAATATAATTAATTTTTTTTTTTAAACTTTCAAAATTTTGATTCTTTTAAAATTTATGCATTCAAAATGTTTTCATGTATAAACAAATAGATTTTAAACGTATAAAATTTTTTCCCCTGCAAAAATTACGAATTTTTCTTTCTTTTTTAAATTTAAATTGTTAAAAATTAAAAATTCTTCTTTTAATTTGTTAATTATTTATAAATATAATAATTCTGTATATTAAAATTTTCATTTGCTTTTACTAATTATACAATTTCATATTAATAATTTATTACATAATGAATTACTATGTATTTGAATAAAAGAATTTTATTTTCATATTTTACTAAAATATTTTATTACAAATTTTACTGATTATATCACAGATAAAATATCATAATCATATCATTTCTTTGTTATCACTCATTTTTCTTCCATATGTGTAAAATTAAAATGCAATTATGATTTTAAGTTTTTTTTTTTTTTTTTTTGGAAATAATTTGATAATAATTACACGCTGTATTCATTAATATTTTATGATAATAATAAATGTATTTGTGATATTTTACACATTTATCATATCATTTTCTCTATGATAAACAGTAAGTACTAAATTAAACTATGCTAAATAATAAAAATAACAAATTAAAAAAAAAAAGCATTTTAATTTGCAAATAAAAAAGAAAATATCTATTAATTTTTCAATATTTTTTGTTGCTGAAACTATGAATAAATTTATCATTATTTATTGATTTTTATCAGCTTATTATCACTGCAGCTGTTAAGCTCATACTCTTAGCAAATAACATCTTAGCAACATTTTTTTTTTTTTCATTTTTAAAATATTCCTGAAACAAATATTATCTAATCACACTAATTTATCAGTTAGTAATAACATAAGTTGTTTTTTTTTTTTCTCCTAGCTGAAATTGAAAAATATATTATTTAAAAGTTCAATTTCTCATAATTTCTAAATTCTATTAAAATTTTTTTACATTTAGAAATCGTATTGATAAATGACAGAAAGTATTTAAAATGTTATCGTTCAAATGTGATAACTGATAAAGCAATGATAACATATAAGTAAGTTTTTTTTCAGTACTGCAAATTAATGAAAATATAAGAATGATATTCTTTTAACAGTTGAAATTATTTATAATTTAGTTTATACTTATCATTTACGTAATATATATATAGTTGAAGAAAAGAAAGATCTGTTATCATTAATCATTTAACAATTTCCAAAAATTGATAAGCTATAAGCTTATCAATTACTTTACATAACAATCTTTTTTTATGCATTCATATAACTTATTAATCATTAAATTCTTACTAATATAAATTCAATAAGTATATCACTTATCATTAAATCTTTTTTTTCTTCATTACACATATGCAACTATCAATATTTATCACTTACGTGTATATTTTACGTGTATTTTATTTTACGTAAGCAATTACCTGCAAAAACTACTGACATTTATGAGAGGAATAAATTTAAATGATTATTTAAGTTTAAAAAAATCTTTTTTATATGCAAATAAATTAAATTGCACTTTTAGCGCATTGTACAGAAATTTCGCGCATTTTATCATTTAATAAAATAAAATGTGAATTTGACATATTTTTTTTTTTTTTAAACAAATTTGATAAAAGTTTTGAAAGGCAATAGTGGTGAATAAAATAGGAAAGTTAAAAAGAGAATTAAAAGAAATTTAATTAATATAAATTTTAATGTAAAATTTAAATATTACAGATTTTAATGTAAAAAAATTACAGAGTTTAAAATGAAATTCGAATATTACTAAGTTTATTCATTTTTATTTTTTGTTTCTTCGGTAAGAAAATATCACAAAGAGCAATAAAAGCATAAAAAATGTGATAAGGAAATGATTATATATGCATGATTCATGTGAGAAATAGTGAGACACACATAAAGGAAATTATTGGTATGAAAGATTATATTCCGGTAACCGGATACCGGATTTTAAGCTTTCTCTTTCTTTTCTTTCTGATAAACGGAATATCAAATTTTAAGCTTTTTCTCACTCTTTTTTGCTTAACATTATTCTGTCCTTTTGCTTTTGTTTTTTTTTTTCTTTTTTGTGATAATTTCAAAAACGAAAAATTTTTTTCATTTTTTTTTTTTCATAAAAAAAAAAGCAAAAATTTGTTTTATGTTTTAATTTTTACTTTCTTAAATTTCTCTATAATAATAAATTATTGATAACAATAGTGATAGTAACTTATCAGTCATTATCATTACATTTAATTACTAAAGTATTCGAGTTAAATACTCAATTAATGATATCTCTTTGCTTTTTTTCTTTTTCTCGTATGCTTCTCTCTGCTTTTTCTTTTCTTTTTCACAGTTACCTTTTATAATGTTTTATTTATACTAATTAATGCGAGCATTTATCAATTATATTAAATATTAACAAAGAGAGAAAGAGAAAGAGAAAATGACAGAGAGAAAGAGAAAATAAGAAAAAAAAAAAAAAAAAAACGAAACTATTGTAAGGTTTGCATCTCTTTGAAATAATTTAACAATTTATGCAATTAAAATTTTTCTCCTTTGTACCTTTTTATCATTTTTTTTTTTTCCTTTTCTTTCTTTTAAAATTTTTTCCTAAATAAATTTTTGCATTTTCTTTTCATAAATTCTCTCAAATGCTTTAATTTTTCATTTTTCTTTGAAATTTTCCATAAAACTTTCTTATCATTCATTCATTTCATATCATTCTGTACATACTAACAATTCTAGAAAAATTTTCCGTTCTTCTTTTCCGTTTTTTTTCCGTTTTTTTTTTTCTCTAATAATTCTAATATCGCAAAAAAATAAAAAAAACAAAGCTCTTTTTTTCATAGATCCTGAAATTATAATTCGGTATATTTGAGGTAAAGGGAGGGAGAGAGAGAGAGAGAGAGAGGAGAGCGGAAAAAAGTAGTAAAAAGATGAAAGGAAAAAGGATAGCAAATCTTTTTCTCCGATATCTCTTATCATTTATCAAAAAAAAAAAAAATTTCTCTTTATATTAATTCTTTTGAGACTTCTTAAAAAAGCGGTCTTTTCTTTCTTTATTTATTTATTTTCAACATATCTTGCGATACTTTTCATACTCGAAAAATCACAGCAGGAGACGAAGTAAGTAATCGTTGTCAATATTAATGGCACTTGTTGCAGCAATTTTTACCAACAATCATTAAAATTTTTTGCCAAATAAAATTTATTTTTGAATTTTAATTTGAAAATTTACTTCTACTTCGTTTTATTTTCTTTTTCATCTATTTCCATCATTTCAGCACACTTGAAATAATTTCTTCCTTTTGTAGTATTTTTGAACATTTAAATTGTTTCTTTTTTTCTTTTTATTCTCGATTAAACTGATTCTTAAATATTGCCCAATTTTTTTTTTTTCCTTTTCTTTTGAATTGCTCTAAAAATTGCATAATTAAGAAGTAATAGGGGGAGAAAAAAGAAAAACACGTCTTATTCATCAAAAAATATTAGGAATTTTTGAATAATTATGATTAATTAATGATGCATAACTTTTCTTTTGCCTTCTCTTTTGATTAAATTTTGCTACAATTTTTCTTGTAAACATTCTTTTCCCATTTTTATTTTTTTTTTATTTTTTTTTTAATTTTATATATTACCGACATGATAAAATGAAAATTATCCAAATGACATATTTAAAATTGTTATTTTGAAATTTTTCGTAGACAAACTTTATTATAAATTTAACAAATTCTGAGCATTACTGAAATTTCTTTTTCTTATCTCATTCTATATATTGTTCCACCATATTGTTACACTCATATTATCACTATTATTATCACTATTACGATCAGCAAATAATAATATCAGGCGTTACAACCAATGCACAATTGCTATTCTCAGCTCATTCATTTGCAAAACACCCTGAAATGCTGATTAATTAAAATGGAGTAGTCTGAAGGAAGTGAAAAATTCATCAAATATCGCTAAAAATGAAAAAAAAAAAAAAAAAAAAACTGTTGTAAATTTGTTTATAAAATTTCAAATTAAAAAAAAAAAAAAAGAGAAAAGAAAGAATCAACAATAGAATTAAAAATTAATATAAAATTAACTTTTTTTTAAAAGCAAAAATCAATTTTACATAAATTTCCTGCTTCGTTTTTTTTTTTTTTTTTTCGAAAAAAATCACTGCAGCAAAAAAAAAAAAAAAAAAATTATATATTAAATTAAAAAGTAAATGGTAACAACAATAATTAAATTTATTTTTTACATAACTAAATAAAATTTTTTGAGAAAAATTTTTAATTAAAAACCAAATAGCAACAATAAGTATTGCATAACTATATAAAAATTTTTGGAAGGAAAAAGATTGATAATCATTTTTATCATATCTTGAAATATAGTAATATTATCACAACAAGTTTAATAACAGAAATTAGAAATATTAAGAATTAAAATTTAAGTAAAAAAATCTATATTATTACCCATTTTCCCTTCCTTTTTAATGTTTATATTACAGTAATACATTCAACTGTAATAAGAAATATCAAAGTTAAAAATAAAAAAAAAAAAGAAATTTAAATTTAAGAAAAACTCTATTTTACCACATTTTCCTCCTCTTTCTCTCTTTTTCATCCTTTTCCCTCCTTCTTCATTTCTCTCTCTCTCTCTCTCTCTCTCTCCATCCTCCTCCTCATTTTTATATTATATTAAAAAAAAATGCTGCAATACATACAAATTTATAAAATCGGTAGGAAAAAATGAATCATTGACAAATATTTTTATTATTGTGTACGTTTACGTGTATGTGTGTAGGCGTGTAGATGTATGTGTGCATGTGTATGTATGTGTATGTATAATGTGTATATTTATATGCGCATACGTAACGTATATGTGCGCTTGTGTGCGTATGCTTGTGTATGTATACGTGAATGTGTGTGCGTGTGCACACGTGTATGTGAATGTGTATGTGCATGAATGTACGTATGTATTTGTGTGCTTATGAGAATATTCAAATGACCACGATCATTATCACCATCATCATCATTATCACCACCACTATCTACATTATCATCATTGCCTTTCTCATTGTTACCATTATCACCATCATTATCAATCTTTACCATCAACATTCAGGTTTGGTCTTATTAACAACTGATGCGAGAGATCTTCGGATATTGATATACTACAGAATATCACTTAAACCGTATTATGCCATTTTATTTGATGACAACATCACCATTATCATCATTTCATCATTATCATCCTCATCACTAGCATTATCGTCATTATCATGTCACAAATTTCATCATCGTCTTTCTCACTATTATAACTATCACCACCATCATTATTATTATTATTATCATTATCATCGTCATTACTAACATTATTGTCATCACCATCATTATTATTATTATTATCATCATTATTGTCACCATCATCATCATTACCAACATCATCATCATCGTCATCACTAACATTGTCGTCATCACCATCATCATTATCAACATCATCATCATCGTCATCACTAGCATATCGTCATTATCGTCATCGCCATCATCATCAAACATCATTGAAGCAACATTAGGGATTGATGATAGTTTGTGCTCTAAATATATATTCCATCATTTCATCATCCTCATCATTGGGTGGTTTCCAATCATTCATTCATTCATTCATTCACTCATTGCTTTTAACATATAGCAAACCGATAAAACGATTGATAATATTATCAGCGATAATTATGGATATAACACGATTGCATCAATTTCAATTTCAATATTTTATCATTCTCATTCAACTATTTCTCACTATTTGCACTGTATTTTTATCACAACTGCAATTAGTTGCTACAATTGATAACAATGAAACAGATTATCATATAACTGATAAAGATTTATTCATCCTTGATAGCTTATCAACAGTGTGTTCTAATAAATGTCCCAAATTTTGTCCTAATCCTGATTTATTGAATTGTACCGAATTAGCCTATGATCCATGTGAATGTTGCACTGTTTGTCTGCATGATACGGGTGAATCATGCGGCCCTGGAATTGGTGCTTGTCGTCAGCCAAATTTTTGTCAACCAAAATTGGATCAAATTGACATTGGCATTTGTAGTGGTAAGTTAGTTCGAACAATTTAACAATAAATTCTAAAAAATTTTCATCTAATTTTTAGTTCTAATTTTTTTGCCTTTGCTAGTCTAATAAGCTTGATAACTGGATGTACGAAAATTTATGGTAATTTGTGCTTCAAAAAATATTGCCCTAATGTATTCGAAGTTGCAATCGACTTAAAAAAAAAAAGTACTATTAAAAATTAATATTAAAGTTAGTGATTAGTAAGATTTGCAAAAGTTTTCCGAAATGTATGATTTCTGAGGTGTACGAAGTATTTAACAAATGCAAATCTAAAAGCTTAAACTTTATTAAAAGTTATTTTAAAAGCCATAATATTAAATTATTCTGGCAGAAGCTTTTAAAATGATTTCTCATAATTAATCTTTTCAATTTATCACTTTATTAAATATTTCTATCTGTTATTAATGATTCACTTTAAAAATTTCATTATATTCAGTTGCTGTAATTTTTTCCTTCAAGCAATTTTCTAATTATTAAATTAAAATTATGTTGAAACTATGCAAGAAAAACAAATCTTCACAAAAAAAAAAAAAAAAAACAATAAAAAGAAACCTTCCAGTGGAAATCTTTTGAAATTTTGTACCTTACTTACATATCGTTGTTTTACTTAAATTCAATTTAATTAAAGTACTTTTATCTTTGAACGTAAAACAACAGCAAAATGCATTAAATTTATTGAATTAAAAATTCGAAAGTTTACTTTGGCATTATCATTTATTCATAATTTTGAGCAGCAAATGATAACAATATAGTTATAATGATGATAATGATATGATTATCCATGGAATTGCTGCAGTTATGTGACAATGATACTGAAATGATTATCTCTGATTATCCTGATAATGATATGGTTAACTTAGTAATGATATAATTCTATTTAGAATGTGATAATGATATAATTACCTTTTAATAAAAAAATTAGTTGACAAAATTGAATTATCTAGATTGAATATTTGTTCATTCCAGTACAATTATCCTTATAGTTATGATTATCATAAGCATATCACAATAATATGATAATTATTTTTAGTAATGATTTTAGTGATGATATAGTATGTGACAAATGATGACAATGGAAATTCAAAATTTCTTGATGATGATAAAATTATGCAGCAATTGATAAGTGATAATTAGTAATGCGATAAGTGATAACGATGTAGTTATTCTTAACAAATTAATGCATTATCGTTATAATTACAATTATGCCAATTAACCTTAATAATAATACGATCATAATTATCTGATAGTAATTTTGTTTAACAATAATATTGATATAATTATATAACAAGCGTTACTGATATTCTTTTATCATTGATAATTAGCTGCTAACAATGATAGATAAATTAATCAAACTTATCTAAAATCATACTACTAAAATAGCTAAAATACTTATTTGATATTCATTTCTTTAATCAAAAAAATAAATAAATAAAATAAAAGAATAAAAAAGAAATGTTTTAATGGAAAAAATTTTCACATTGCAATATTACATTTAAAAGCGCTTCCATCAAAACAATGATTTTTTTCTTCTTTTTCGCTCTATTTTTTTTCATCAAATCATTCATCCATATGTTAGTATTAATTAAATTACAATATAATATTTCAAAGCTTTTCCGCTTTCCATAATACAAGAAAAAACATTTTAAAAAAAAAAAATTGAAAATAAAAAATCAAAAAGAATCCAAAAAAAAAACTTATAAAAAAATTAAAGTAGAAAAAAAAAATCCATAAAAATGCATTTATTACAAAAATTTGATGTTTTTATCAACTTTCTTTTTTTTTTTACTCCAATTTTCAATGTTTTATTTTTTTCTTCTTTAAATTATTTCATTACTTTTTCATTTTTTTTTTCTAAATTATTAATTAGGCAATTGTAATTAGTTTAATTATTATAAATATATAAATAATGGTTACTTTCTATCAATATTGCAAAAATTTTTATTTAAATAAGCAAAAAAATTATTTAAATTATTCATTGCTCATATGTTATCAAAAAAAAAAAAAACACAATCATTTAAAAATAAAAAAAGTATTGCTGATAAAATTATTTGTTTCGAAAATAAATTTATCATTTTTTTTCTTTCTTTCTTTCTCTCACACTCTCTCTGACGTTTTTCCATTTTGTTGTTTAAAATTAAAATATAATGTTGTGTAATAGCATTGCAATTTACAAATAGAAACATCAATTTCGAGTGTAAACAAAAAAAAAAACGAAGAATCTTTGACAAATTAATTCATTCCTTTATAATCTCTCTCTCTCTCTCTCTGTCTCTCTTTCTTTTTCCCTCTCTTTTTTCTCTCTTATCGTTTTGCAACATTTTATATTTGCTAACGTATGCATAATGTTTTTCTTTTCTTTCTTTTTTTATTTATTTATTTAATTTTCTTTTTTTTTTTTTTTGTTCAAAAAAATTTAAAAAGAAAATATTCGTTCTGATTTAAGTTTTTGATTTGAAGATGGAAAAATAATTGAAAATTGTTTAATTTTTTGATGCAAAAAAAAAAAAAAAAAATGAAAACGAAAGACAAATACAATTAATCATACTATTACTTTACATTAAGTAAACAAAAAAAAAAAAAAAAAAGAAAAGTAAAGCTAACTTTAATTTGTAAGTATTACTTTTACATTGAATGCATCTTTTTCTTGCTTTAAAAAAAAAGAGGAATGATCAACTTTTTCTTTTTTTACTTTTGTAATAGTTTCTTATTTTTATATTTATATATAATTTTTTTTTTTTTTTTTTTATTTTCAAAGCTAATATAAAATTAAAATGATTTAATTTATTTGTCCAAAAGGAAAAAAAAATTTTTGATATTAGTGTTTTTCAAATTTATATTGTATAAATTTAAAATGCAATTTTTTAATAGCTCACATTAATTAATAATTTAATGAATAAATGAGAATTTAATTGATAACTATATATGATAACGTGATATTTAAATCAGTAAAGTTAAATTAAATTTTAGCTGTGTGTGTTGTTTAGTTAAATTGGTTTATATAATATATTACATATATTTAACTGATCGATTTTATTAAATATATTTAACTGATCGATTTTATTAAATATATTTAACTGATCAATTTTATTAAATATTTTGATATTTAACTGATCGATTTTATTACTGAAAAAAAAAAAAAAAAAAAAGAAAAAAAAGCAAATCGATGTAATAAAATTAATTTTGTCATCAAAAAATAGTGATTTTATTTTTCATTTTTGGTTTTTAATTAATATATTTTTTTTTCCACCCATTGCTCTGATTTTAATTAAATTTCACATTTTAATTAATACATTTTTATTCATCCAAGCTTGACATCACTAATTTAGAGATTTAATTATCACACAAATAAATATCACAATTTTTAGTCTTAATATATCAAAATATATTTCTTTCTTTTCCCTTTTCTTCTTTTTATTTTTTCTTTCTTTTTTTTTCAAAAAAAATATATTAATATACATATTTGTTCAATTTTTCTTTTCTCTCTAATTTTTCTCATTTATTTAAAAAATTATTTTTCATAACAAATTATTTTCATAAATTTATTTTTATAAAATCAATTTCAACATGCAATTTTTAGCAAAAAAAAAAAAAAAAAAAAGAGGAAAAAAACACAGAAAATTAATTATAGCATAATATAAACTTAAATGAAATTAAACTAATAAAATAATAAAAAATAATTTTATCCTTTTTTTCTTTTGCTTTTTTTTTTTTTTGCGAAACATTGAAATTGAATAGCTTTGATAACAAAATGAAAAAAAAAAAAAAAAAAATGCATTGTGAATTTTTTTTGTTTTTATTTTTTCTTTTTTTTCTTTTGCATTTCAATAAAATTTGTTTGTTTTATGGCAGATTACATTGAATATTAGCTTAAATGCAATTTTTATTTCGATTCTATTTTTTTTTTCATTTCGTTTCTTTCGACAATTTCATCAATCTTTCGAAATTTTCCATTTCGATGAACCAAAATGAAAAGAAAAAAAACAGTGAAATGATTTTTATGAAAAAAAAAAAAAAATGATAAAAATTTTTTTCCAAAATTAATCAGTATCACTTATTTTTTAATTATTATATTAGATTTTTCTTAACAAAATATTATTATTTTTTTTTTTTAAATTTTTAAAATTATATTTTCTTCAATTTTTAAAACAAAAAAAAGAATTATTTTCTTCAATTATTAAAATTGCAATAATTTAAATCATAAAGCATTGTCTCTTCGTTATTCTTTTGGAATATCTTTTTTTTAAAAAAAGAAGTAGTTTAATATAATTTTTCGCTTGAAATATTTACAATGCCTTAATCAAATTTCAAATATGCATAACGAAAATTATTAAATTTTATTTTACTTTTTTTTTTTATTAAAAAATATTTTTCTTATCAATTCATCGATGTATTTTCATTCTATTTGCATATTATATTCTAATTTTTTTGGTGCAATTTTTGCTTCTTTTTTAAAGACCAATTATTAGTTAGAATAAACTTAAATATTTGTAGTATTTTTCATTATTTTAGTATTGAATTTAATTATTAAATTTTACAATCATGCAAAAAAGATAGCCATCAGCTGCGAATTTATTAAATTTAATATTATTATCCTTGAAAATATGAACCGCAAATACTACAATTGTATTTATGTAATATATTTATTTTTTTAAATGGCATCAAATAATTAATAAAATGATATTAAAATATTCTAATTCAATATTTATTTGTTTTTATAATTCAAAATGTCATTTGATAAATGATATTACTGATGGCAACATTAATCATAATTATTTTTCATTTATATTTAGTCATAAATTGCATGACTTTAAAAATTTTTTAAATTTATTCAAAAAACTTTTTTTAATGAATTAAAATGATAAGCGTAAAAAGTTTAAAAAAGATAAGTAAGCAAAAACAAGAAGCTATAAAATTGTAACATTTTTTAGATAAATTTTTTTAAATTAAAAAAAAGACGAATGCTGAATATTGTAATAAATTAAATATAAAACTTTTATAAATCATTAATGAAATTTTCTAATTATTCAAATAAATTTTATTTTATTTATTTATTTATTAATTAAATAATATTTTTCTTATAATAATAAACTATCATACCATTATTATATTTATTATATCAAATTTATCATTTCAAATATTATTTGTAAACAAAATCATCAAATTACTGTAGCGACATTAATTATAGGAATGAAAATGGAAGCAATTAAATATTTTTCATAAAAAAAAATTATCATTTCGCATCTTATTTTATAATAATTCAATTTTATTTTCTATTTTTTTCTTTTTTTTTTGGGTTAATGATATTTTTCAAAAAAAAAAAAATTTAATTGCTGTAAATTTCATTTGAAAATAATACGATAATACTTTAAATGATTTTGTTCATTAATCCGTCAAATATCATTTTTCTTTCTTTTTATTTTTCATTTCACTTAAAATGCATTCATTCATTCATTCATTCTTTCATTTTTTCTTTTATGCATAGCAAATTCTTTAAATATTTTATTTACGTCTTTTTATTTCAAAAAAAAAAAAACGAAAAGAAAAAAATTTATTTTTTCTTTCTAAATGAACTAATTAGTTCAAAAAAAAAAAAAAGTTAAGAATAACAAAATCTTTTCCATAATTTTTTTCAAATTTTTTCCTTTTTTTTTCATTTTCATTTTTCATTTTGAAATTTTCATTTAATAATTAGTACTGTTTTATTGTGAATGGAA